TATTCAAATATTTAAACAGATTAAATTAATTTTAAAAATTAAAAGTGAATTTGAAAGTTTGAAAAAAAGGATCTGACTTTAAATTTAAAGAAATCAGTAAATAACTACAATACTTGTGATTATTGTTGAATAATCTGTGACAATTAAGAGTCAAATTAAAAGGATCCAGCCATATGCTCGCCACGGTTACTGTGTAATACACCCACATTAAAATTGACAGAAAAAAGTAAGAAAAAGTCAAAAGTCGGGCGGGATCGACTAGATGATATGCATCGCATATTTAGTAAAGCTCCCATAATAATAGAATTTTTATTGGGAATTCATTTGAAGTAGATCTTACCACCTATGAACCTTTAGCAAATAGCATTGCTATAGAGAGAATGATATCACTTCGAGTAGGATTACATTAAAACCAGTTAGGAAAAGTCAAAAGTCGCGGGGGGCCAACTGTATGATACCCTACTCAATTAAACCTTAAACTAAAACTATGCATATTTAGTAGAGCTCCCGTAACAAAATAATTTATTTGAGGTAGATCATACCATCTATCAACATTTGGCTTTAGAGCAATTAAAGTTTTGATTCAGAGGAAACTGATATATGGGTGTACATCCAATTCGGAATCGATTTTCACTAAATTTAACGGAGACATCTTAATCTTTCATACCAAATAACATTGCTGTAGAGTGCATGATCTCACTTTGTATCGGAGTCGAGTTCTACAAAATGGAAACGTACTCTGGTATTAGGCATTATTTACACAATAAACCTGAAATCGGATTAAGTATATATATGGGAGCTATATTCAAATACTAGTAAGCAAAGGCTATAATCGGACGGGGCCTTCTCTGTGATACCCTCGCCACAAAAATTTATTGTGAAATTTCTGAAACCATTTAAATTTGAGTGAACGAATCTCTCCAGGTATTGGGATATATAATTAAACTACTTTCAAATCGATCTAATTGCACTGTGAACACAAAACTTGGGGTTAGAAAATTATTTTGGGGACGATAAGTCTTGGTGAGCATATAAAGAGTAGGGAAGGACAGAATATCCGGATGTAGAATTTCCGAGTTAAGGTGTGATGAATGTTCTGCATTTGACGCCGAATTGCATCATGAAATCCGCTATTTATCCGTTTGTCAATATTCTCGAGATCAATTTTTCAGCTACATTGAATGACGATATTTTTTGACGAATATTTCATTCGAAAGGTACATAGAAATAATATAGTTATTATTTCTATGTACTTTTCGTTCCCCATTTTTAAACCGAAAGATAAGTACCACAACATAACACTTTAAGCCATTAAAATGTTCTACAAAAATGAAACTCCAAAGATTTTAGGTACGATTTTCGATGTATTTGTTACTTTCGATCGACATTTGTCTATATTTCATTTCTTGAAGATTTGTAGCGTATACAAACGAACAATTTCAAGAAACGATTTTTCTTTTTATTCTGTTTGTTTATATTTTTAATTTCTGCCGACTTTTGTCATCCATATGAGCAACTAGCTGAATCCGGTGCACATCGCTACCTCTTTTGATTTTATATGCTTTCAAAATTTTGTAAACGAATATTTTGCGGATTTTAAATAAAAACAAGTTAAAAAGCAGTAAGTTCGGCCGGGCCGAACTTTGAATTTTTCAAAAAATACAAAAATTCTGCTAAAATTTAAAAAATACCGAATATAGCCGTTATATTGGTGTCTATAAGCCACTACCATATTCAAATACGAAACTTGAAATAAACGGTGAATAATGAAGCTAAAATCATCAAAATATCGAAGACCTGGGCCAGCATAGACAATTTTCTGTCACAGGCTTTAGTTCCCTTTACGAACTTCAAATATCAAATTTGAAACAATTCCGGTGAATAATGTCGCTAAAATCATCAAAATACCGAATATCGGGAAGTACCGTTATATGGGGGCTATACGAAGACGTGAACCTGCACAGATAATTTTCTGTCTCAGGCTGTAGTATCCATTTCGAACTTCAAATACCAAATTTGAAAAATTCCGGTGAAAACGAGGACCTACATGGCCCATTTACGAACTTATCCTGCCTACTGGAAAAATAAACATGTGTGCAAAATTTTACCCTTCTATCTCAATTCGTTCGAAAGATAGCGTGATTACAGCAGACAGGCATCACTAAATCGACCTAGAATTTTACGCTGATCAAGAATATATATACTTTGTTGGGTCTGACATGAGTATTGGGATCTGATATTTGCAAACCCTGGGTATTGGCGGAGAAAATGCTTCAATTTTTCATCATCTTCCCCGCATGCCCTGCATATGCTGTAATCTGCCCAACCTATCTTGAACAGATGACAAAGGCGTGGTGGGTCTATATTTCTTGATAAAATAATATCCAAATCAGAACCGATTTCAATACAATTTCACAAAATTTATTTTTAAGCAAACTTCCGTCACACATTCCATACTTCATTGACATTTGACATATATAGCGTGTTTGGTGCATCAAATACACAAATCTGAACCGATTTCAATATAACTTGGTAAGTTTATTTTTGCACCAAATTCCGTCACGCATTCCAAATTTGAAGACTGTATCAAACAAACAATCAAATCAGTCATTTGTAGAATAGAAGAAAATGTAGAATAGAAGAAAATAGGAGAGCCCTTAAGATTTAAAGAGCACTTATCAAGTCGGTAAGCTACGTGTTCTCGAACTTCGCCACAATTATTGGGATATGCAAATCATAATAATCGACTAATTGCCTTAGGGTCGAAATTAAGTTTAGCAAAATCGAGTTTGTTCGTCTATAGGTCCGTGCGCCTCTTTTTCTGTCGAGATAAATGACATATATTATAAGCAGCTTTAGTTTCCAATTGCTCGGTCTACTTTCTTATATGGCCCCCATGAAACGATACCTCTCGATATTCGGTGAATTGATGGTGGTGAATTTATACCTTTAAATCGGAAGTGTTTGAACATTACGTTTTTTTCTTTGTTATACTCTAAGACACACTGTGTCACAGTGGGTTAATTTGTTTGCAATATGCAGAAGGAAACGAATCACATGCTGAATCGATTTATGGATGTCCCTCCGTCCGTACGCCTGTCCATGTATTTTTGTAAACAAAGTACAGGTTGCATTTATTGTCCCATTCAGATGAAATATTCCATACATCATTAGTTTGGCCCAAGGACAAACCCTATTAAAGTTGGTGATGATCGGATCAGATTAGTGTATTGCTCCAATATATAGTTTTGTCCGATTTCCATATGTGTAATATTCGACCAAATGGAATGGACTTTTACCCATTGGATCGTTTACAGTACTGAAGCATGTATTTCAAATTTGGTAAAAATCGATTCAGACATAGCTCCCATGTATATGTTTCATGTTTCGGATACCTCTGCCAATTTTCATCAAAATAGGTTCAGATTTGCATATTGCTACCATATATTTTTATCCGACTTGACGTTAATTGAGCCTAAATGGATTGGATTTTAGCACATAGGACAAAGAAAAACGGTTAAGATACAGCTCGGATTTATATGTTTCATCCGATTTTGTGTTTTAATCTCTCATATTAGTAATATATAATATTTGGTAATAGACATCAGCGTTTGCTGATGTCTAGTTATTGGGACAAATTGCTATCGTCAGGCTTATATTCATATTACCTGTCAGTTGAGATTGTGAGAAGTATTGAAAACTGTGTCCTTTTTGTGGGAGGTGCCAGGAGGAGTATGCCGATATCTATCATTTTTACTTCAGACTTGTATTGGTAAAACCATTAGGAAGTGTGAAGATTGGAATGAATCGGATGCTTATTTCGCATTTTATGACTGTTGGTTATTCAAAATGTTGACCCCTTTGTGGATGAGGTAGGAGAGGGGTGGACTCATCTTCACACCAGGTCTTGTGTTGATATAAATATTGGGATGTGTCGAGTTTGAACAAAAATCGGATGCTCATTTCGAGATTAATGAGTTTCATGATGGGGGAGTTACCGGAAGTAATGGTCCGTTCTATACGTTATTCGCACCAAATCTTGTGTTGGCAAAAATAATGAGATTTGAATGGTTGTAGTTGAACTCTATTTTACATTTCATGAGAGTTATAATTTTTCAAAATTTCGAACATTCGTGAGCGAGTTGCATGATGAAGTGAGCCGATAATGTATATTTTCCCAGATGAAATGATCCTTTCTTGTCCCGCAAGGTGTGAGTACCTTTTGTGGAGGAGATGCCAGAAGTAGTCACCGATATTACCAAACTTCGAACTTGATCTAAGTTTGATTTCAAATGTCCTGAAACGGATTTAGTCCAAATGGACGTAGGTCCTAAAACCATTATTTCGATGACGACAATTAAAATCGACAATAGATAATACCTCTCTAGCCATATGGCTGAAGTTACAAAAATACAGGCACAAAATTGATTTCAAAAAGTTATTGAGAATTTTTGAAAAAAAAAATTGTATTTTTGTCATTTATTTAGAATTTGATAAATAACAACAAGGCGTGTCTCGTGCGCACATTAAAATCACCCTTGATAAGGGTGACCTTCCCGAGGTGAGTTTCGGACCTTGAGGCAACATGTTCCCCATTTAAAAATATTTCCAAATCTCATATAAACAAATTCCGCTATCTTTCATCTCTAACGTCACTCATAACAAATGCGCACAATAGCATAGTTCAAAGACCCAAAATTATTTTGTAAACAAGTGTAATTTTTATTTTCCATACATCATATGGACAATTGACGAAAGTCGTATTGGCTATCTAAGCAAAATACCTAACATACTTCAAATCGAAAATAGATAATACTCTGATTATTTCAAAAAAATTAGAACTTTTGATATCCCTTCACCAAAAACACAAAAATAATCGAAACAATATTTCAAAGAATAGATAGTCAAATAAATTTATTTTCTTCAAAGCGTTTTAGTTTTGATTTAACCGTGAGTGCGGAGAGTGTGACTAAGGTTTTTTTCTTTTTGTATCGTTTTAGTCACTTGGCGGTGGTGTAATTTTTTAATATCTTGAAAGGAAAGTAACAAACAACAGCAACAACAAAAGAAACTCGATGATTGTTTTAAAATCAAATCAATTGGAAATTTTCAATTTGAATCCTGATACGTGATAATTTATACTACATCCTCCCTCTTCCTATCCACCCTGCCCTTTCAACAACTATCTATAACTGTAAACACAACAACCACAACTACAACTCCATCTCCAGCTATAACCACAATATTTCCAATCCTGGCCTAGTCAAAGGATATCCCAAACCTCCCTAGTTTGCGAATTTCATTGAATTCATCACCAAACTGCTACCGGAAGATGATTGTCGACAAATCGGAGAACATTGGCGAGCATGCTTGGACAAAGCTACTCGACGACAAGGAGACCAGTGGCAAAGATGCTGTGATTGTTAAAATATCCAATAAAAACGAAAATAGTCTGCGACACGATAAACTCAATATCAAAAACCTAAAGGAAAACAGTTCGTTGACGGCAAATTTTGTGGACCCACCTGCCAAAGACGCCCTGGCCAACGACATAATGGGCGAGGAGGGAAACAGCGGGGCCCCCCTGATGGGCAAGGATATCAACGAGGGTACAAAGCTGAATGCCAATGCCGGCCTCGGAGGTGTTGGCGTTGGCAGTGGCGGTGTAAACAACGATGAGAAAAACGTTCAAATACAACGCAAAGAATCTATACTCGGTACATTCCATAGACATTTAAGAAGATCGATAAAGGCTGTTAGTGAATCACCGGGACCGATTACAAGGTAAGTGAACGCAACCCACATTTGAATTGTCTTAAAAAAAAAAAACACTAATTTTTGGGAATACATTGCCCACAGGCACTTGCCAAGTGTGGTATGGCCTACTTATTCCATGGAATCACCAACATTTTTTTGTCTCTGCCATCAAAAGTTTCGTTTATAATTTTTTGGAATATGATTTTCTATCTGAGTAATCCGGAAAATAGGTAACCTTGAAAATGACGTCAATCCATATTTCACTGGGCCACCCAATTCGTTGGGTGTTGACTGGTTGGGTACTTTTCGCAAATCATTTTTCATTTCTTGGAGATTTGCTATTTAGCATACATATTTATATGTATGTAGGTCGATCGGTCGGTCGCCTCCTCTTTAGCTTGTCAAAATATTTATTTGAACATTTTTTTCTTTCCTCAAAAATTGTTATAAATAAAATTTGTAATGGGAAATTCGTTGATTTGATCGTCATAGAAAACGAATGTTTGCAATAATTAAAAATCAGTTGTTCTACAAACGTGAATATTTATGAGATTTTAATGTTTAATCGGCATTTAATGGTATTTTTCAACCCAATATTTTACAACAAAACAATATTTACAATTAAACAATTTTCAAATGGAAATCTATATATAAAGGAATAGAGCGATGTCTGAGTGACTGACTGATTCATCAAGGTCGCGGGCGAAACTGTTGAAGCTGGAATTTTGTGTTAGGGTGATATAAGGCTGGGTTTTTAGAAAGCCGAACTGTAACTGTACTAAAATTACTAAAATGTACTAAAAATTGATTTCTGTTGATTGGGCAAACGGAGAGATAGAGAAAGAACTCTAAAATTTGGAATTAGGGTCGTTGAAGGGGTTTAGTTTAGAAGTTTTAAATTCGTACTAGAAGTCTACTAAATTTTCTGGTTTCACTGTTAGTGTGTAGGGTTGGAATTAGAAGGTGGCTCTGGAGAAATGTATTATTAAAGTACGAAAAGTCCTTAATGGTACTAATTTTGGTATATGAAGAAATTTGGAATTTGAGATTGGAAATTTAGAATTTTCGTATTAGGGTTACTTTTTGTTGGGTGGAGGAGTTTGGCGTTTTTTTTTGGAAATAAGCACTAATTTTTAGTGCGAAAAATAGTAAATGGTATTAAATTTGTTATCTGGGGAAAGGTGAGAGATAGAAATTTTAAATTTGAAAGGGGTTTTGGAAAATTCGAACAATATGTATACCAAAAGTACTAAACTGCAACAAATTGGAAACGATCTTTAAAATTGGTATGAACTTGAAGTTTAGGATGAAGGGTTGATAGAAAAAGGCATGGTCATTGGATAAGGTTGGGGTGTAAAAGTTTAGTATATAACAGTTCGAGAAATATACTAAACAGTACGAAAAGTCCTATAAACACCTATATGGTACTAAATTTGGTATATTAAGAAGGGATAGAGTTGGAAAATTGAGATTTTGGTATTAAGGTCACTTTTTGTGGGATGCGCTTGATATATGGAGGTGATTTTGAAAATATGCCCTAAAAAGTACCAAAAAGTAGTGGTATGAGGAACAAGTTAAGCAAGTATGGTTAAAGTAATTCCATTGAAAATGTGGCTAAAATCGTCAAAGTACAGAATAACGGAATGTAACTTTATATGGGGGCAATGGGTAAACGTAGACCTATATAGACAATATGCTGACACATGAAGAAGAAACCTTTATGAACTCAAAATACTGAATTAAATAATATTCTGTTAGAAAATGTGGCTATATGGGGTTATACGAAAAAGTGGAGTTATATACAATGCATATACAATGTTCCAGTACAGAAGATAGAATAAATTTTAAACTCTAAATACCGGATTTTAAGCATTTCCGCTAGAAACTGAATATAAGAAAGCCACATAAGATAGAACATACTATGAACTCTAAATACCTAATATTAAACACTTTGGTTAAAAAATGTGGCTACAACCATCAAAATGCCGAACATCGTTAGGATCCGTTATATGTGGAATATAGGATATCGTGTGTGGATTTCAGCCAGATCCGTTGAAAACCAGTAAAGGAAGTCTTAAAGTCGGGTGGGTCCGAAGTTATGATACCCTACACCACTTTAAATATTTAGTATAGCTTCATAAAAAAAATAAAAGTTGTATGGGTAATTTGTGAGAATTGAATTATACCAACTATGATTATAGTTAAATTTAAAGTCCAAGGGACTAAATTTACCGAAGTATTTGTGTCTTTTCAATTCGCACTTGTATTACCCATTTGGTTAACTTAAAATCAGATAATGATATATATGGGAGCTAAATCAAAATCTGAAACGATCTCGATTAAATTTGGCAAAGGCATTTCTATATCAAATTTCCTGAATATCGAGTGCATATTACGGCTGTGGAGAACAAATATAACAAATCGGATGAAAATATATATGGCAGCTATAGCTGTATCGAACCAATTATCACCAAATTTGACATATTAGTTTCTAGACTCAATTTGGTATTAAGTTCCAAATTTCATCACATTTGGGCTAATATTACACCTTTTGTGGACATTTCATTATTCAAGGGCAATACCTCACGTTTATCATTAGGAACAGATAATACAAATTTCAAACAATTCTATAAACATTATGTTTTTGCTTTTTTACTCTTGATTTAAAACGTTTCCAATACAAGTCAAAATCTCCCTTTGCGCTTAATTTTTTGGAGAAAGTGTCAAGTAAAGGATTCTTCTGGACCAAATTTTATTGTGACTGATCCACAATTATTGGTAGAAAGATATGTCGTTTAATGTGCTTATGATGTGGAAATTCTATCTACAAAAATATGTCAATATTGCTCCTGATTTTCGTACAGCCATTATATAACGATATTCCCTGATTGTAGTTATTGTAAGGATCCTGGCCATACTCTTTAATAGATTTGGCTCTTTATGTTATATTCATATTGAAAAATCTTCTTTCCTACCCACGAAGGAACCAAAACATTAATTCTCAGCCAAATCCTGCACATTTGTATAATGTACTCATTTCCCGGATAAATTGTTGTACTACACTAACAACTTCAATTAGCACCTTCATAAAATACTCAAAAGAAATGAATGGTTGCGGTATGAGGTTGACCGACCACAGCGCCATTCGGACAACCAACCAGACGATTTGACGGCTAAATGGATGAATTTATTTACAATATGTTTTTTCTTTTCTTATCCATAAAATAAAAACGCTAAATGGATCAATACAATTTAAACTAAACAAAGCTAAGAAAAAAAATGACCAGAAGCAAGACATTGAATGCATTTCAACAACCATAAAAATGGACTATATTGCAATGACTCCATAAAATATTGGGTAAAAGATTTGTTTGAGTGTCTGTGTGTGTGCACATCTGTGCCTATATGCATTTTCGTGATTTTTTCCATTCCCAAATTATTTCACATTTCTTTGGAAAGAAAACTTACGCCTGAAAATAATGCAAATCTCCACAAGCATACGTATTTATGTAGAAGTGTTTTGGTGTCAGATAGAGTCCAGCCCCAGCACCCCAAGAGATTTTTCTTTATTCTCATGTGTTCGTGGCTTTTGTTAATTCATTAAGTATTCGCTCGTGTGATTCTCACCATCTTCATCATCCGCATCATCGTGTCTTTGCGTGTGCAACACATGTTCGATAAAAAGACGAAGAGCAACAAAAATCACAAAGATTAATAATCTCTGTGAGTGATACAACATTTTCATCTTAATTGAATCCATCATTCTTTCGTTCGTTCGTTCATTCATTCTTTCTTTTTTATTTATTTATTAAATCAAGAAATTATTCAACTGATATTGAATGGTTTGGAAGGCTGAAAAGATTTCCTGTTTATTTGTTATCATTTTTCTTGTTGCGATGGAAATTATGTAAATTATTTTAATTTGAATTTATAAAGCACGAAAAATATTCGTTCTTACATATCAGGTGAATTGTTGCCACAGTATTTTCGGCATATTATATAAAGAAATATAATTCAGGTAGGGACATTGTTATTAAGAAAAAATTAAGTTCGGTCAGGCCAAGCTTTTAATACCCTCCGCCTTAGGGTAAAGGAAACATTAGAACTCATTATGACCCACAAAAACAAATTTTTGGACATATTCATGGGAAAATTTGCCAAAAATCGTCAAAATGCCGAATATCGGGAAATACGGCTATGGGGCTATACAAAAACGTGGACCTATACATGCAGTGTTTCGCCACCGAAGCTAGAACCCATTATGACATACAAATACCAATTTTCACACAAATTCGTGAACAAATGTGGCAAAAATCATGAAAATACCGAATATCGGGAGGTACCGTTATATGGGGACTATACCAAAACGTTCGTGTGGCGAATATATATATATATATACAAAAACGTATATACAATTTTTTAGTGAAAATGTAAAAGGAAGAACTTTTCTAGATCAAATTTCATTGTCTCTGAACAAAGGATATTTGGATATTTAATATGTTCCATAAAAAAAATCATTAATTCTTGATAATACCTTCATTATTTTTGAAAAAATTACACCCCATTATATATATATATATATATTTTTTTTTTTTTTATATATTTTTTTCAAAAATAATGAAGGTATTATCAAGAATTAATGATTTTTTTTTATGGAACATATTAAATATCCAAATATCCTTTGTTCAGAGACAATGAAATTTGATCTAGAAAAGTTCTTCCTTTTACATTTTAAACGGGTGATTTTCACTTGGATTGGAGACGTATTAAATTAACAGTAAAATATCAAACACATAATATTTACATGTAGTACATAAATTTCAATGGTATTTTTTTTCACAATTAAATTTGAATAGAAGGAGATGCTTTTTCGCATTTTTTGAGATATATAAGTATTCAAAATGTTGACCCGTTGTGGTAGATAAGTGATTGATATATTCCATCTTCACATCAGATCTTGTGTTGGTAAAAATATTGGGATGTGTAAAATTTGAGGACAATCGAACCCTTTTTTATACCCTACACCA